TATTCCTATGAAGTAACTTACCTGTAGGTTTCCAAGGTCTTTCATATTAAATTGTGTCTTCATCATTAATTTGAAATCATTCATTAGCATTTCATTACTATTAGCTATTATTAGGTCATCTACCCATATAAGCACTATAATTTTGTCTTCGCTTGTCTCTTTTAGATACATAAGAGTACAATGGTCAGCCGGATTTTGACAAAAATCATTACTTATTAGGTTTATACACTAGTTTTTCCCCTGACTTAGAATTAACTTCAAAAACCTTTCGGTTGTTGAATATACACTTCTTTTTCAATAGGGGCATTTAAATACGCTGTTTTGACATCCATTTGTCCCAGTTTCAAATTTTGCTGGGCGGCTAATTGTGCAAGGACTCTAGTTGAAGTCATTGACGCTGTGGGTGCAAAAGTGTCATTATAATCAAGACCTTTAACCTGGTTGTAGCCTTTAGCAATGGTGTTAATATGAATGTACAGTATCATTATCTCTTAGTGCCTCAACTTCATCGGTCATGGCTTTAATCCATTCTTTTGAGTTCAATGATTCCATAACGGTTTCATAATTATGTGGGATATCTAAGACCTTATTACAATAGTCTATACTAGTATAACTTGTGTCTTCAGCTTCCAAATCAGTAACAAAGTCTTTAAAGTATTTTGGTGGTTTCCTATCTCTAGTAAGATAAGATAAGATGGACTATTCTTATCGTAGCCAATAAATATTCCTTTCCCACAGCGGTTATCTAACTTACTTTTATTTTGTTTATACACATAGCATTTAGCACCAAATGCTGCCATGTTCGCTAGATTGGGTCTTTTATGTGTTAGTACTAAGTAGGGAGTTTCATTTAATCTATTATTGATGCATCTATTTCAGATATATCTGCGCACATTATAGCATATGGCCATAGTTCTTTGGGTAGTTCAGACTGGGCTAAAAGGCATCTACCCATATCAAATGGTGTTCTCCAGGCGTTCTGCCGTCCCATTTTGGTGGGGAGAATACGGAGCGGAGGTTTCATGACGAATTTTGTTATCTATTATTGGATTCTTAAACTCATGGGAAGTAAATTCTGTGCCATTATCAGATCTAATCGTTTTTACAATACCAAAGGGTTCAGAATCGGCTAAGAATTTCTTAGTTGCCTTAACACTGTCGCTTTTTGATTTAATAAAGTAAATAAATACAGCCCCTGAATAGTCATCTGTGAACGTCATTGCATATTTAAAGCCTTCATCAGAAGTGGGTGTTATTGGCCCCGCCAAGTCTGTATCCACTAGTTCTAATGTTTTTGATGCCCATGCATCAGTTCCTTTCTGATGTTAAACTTGGTGTTGTTTTGTTTCAATACATTTTCCTTATCGCTAAATTCAAAGCTCGCTCCATTCTTTGTCGCTTCACCAATGGACAGGATATCCTGTGGGTAAGTAGGTATACATAATGCGTTCTTTTAATATCCCTCTTGTAGTGTGTCCATTGTTATCGACAAACTTGATATCCACATCTCCACATTTAACTGCCACACCGCTTAGTCTTAGTCACCTAGCATTTCTAATTATGTGAGATGATGCTCCTGAGTCAACCAGTATTCTATTATTGTTGTTAATGTGGTAATCGCTAGTTTTAAAAGCAAAGTTGTTTATTTCACTCTCTTCCCTGTCACTTGAAGTTTTGATGTGTCATTTTCTCTGTTCTTAAATATGCAATATTCTGTGTCGTGTGTTGTAGTTTTACATCGTTTACACCATCTCCTCCTTCTGATACAGTTACTGCAATTTATGGCCTTATGTAGCCCTCCGCAATTGTAACATGACATCTTCCATTCGTTTTTAGTGTGCATTATTGAGTTAGATTGTGGTTGGCCGACTATAGTTTCTTCATAGTTTTTCAAAGCAACTTTAAATTCTTGCCTATTATGTTGTTGATCACGGTGCAAAGTGATTGCTGCAAAAGTTTTATACGTTTCTTGTAGTCCCTTAATTATCATAGCAATCAACAGAGTATCACTCACCGTTTCCCCAACATTCTTCAAATGTGTCGCAGCTGTCTCTGCTCTTAAAACATAATCCGTCAATTTTTCACCTTGTTTCATTTCAATTGAACATAGATCCGAATACAATCCAATTATTCTTGGTTTTCCTTTTCCTAAATAATGTTGCCTCAAAATTTTGAGTGCCTTTTTTAATAAAGTTTCAAAAATTTCTATGTATGTGGAAAAAATTGATTACCAAAGGTTACAATTTTTATTTTGAAGACTGCATGGTCTAGGAAGTGTACATTTTTTTATGGGGCAAGTTTCCAAGGGCAGGTTTTCTAGGGGCGAGTTGACTGCCAAAGAGTTTTGCCAAAGCGCGAGCCAGCGTGTTATTTGAACAAAGTGCGAGATGTCACAAGTGTAAGCCAGATAGCTATGAAGTCACGACAATAGATACGAGACGTTAACGAGTTGTGCGAGGTATCGGCTGAGTACAATTAAAAAAACAACTATAGGTCTAATAATGAATTATTGTGATGTTAAATAGACAATTTTAGCTATCAAGGAGCGACGTTGTTTTTCATTGGGACCTTTGTCCCTTCAAGGCTAGGTCTATACCATCCTAGCTAGTCTAGGCCTAGAGTAGGATAAGGCTAACCTAGACTACTCCCGAGTCCTAGCACTGTCGAGACGAATCCGAGTTTACACCTTACCTCTTCCACATGCAATGTTGTGGTCAAGAAATCAAATTAGCAAAAATATTTAAAAACATAGAAGTGCAACATATTTAAAATACATAAGTCTATTTAGATGGGTCAACAATTTGTAATACATTTTCAAAAATGGAGTACAGTACTAATCAAACTTACATTGTAGACTATTATTACAGTAAGGGGTGTATAAAGTTGGAAATGTCACATCCATTTTTTTAAATCTACCCCCTCCCCATAAAAAACATTTTGAACAGTAAATGTCCTGTGGTGTTTATTAAAATAAAATTATGGTACAGTACAAATTGTTTTCTGATTGTAATATAGATGCCAAATTTAATATAAAAACAAAGGTACATGGATGATGAAATAATAAAAAAGTTAAAGATTCTGCCTGCTTTAGTACAAAATTTGTTGTTAACTTAAAAAATAGGATTACATTTGAACATGCAATTAACTTTTATGTCTTGAATATTTAATATTTCACATATTGTTTATGTTTTATCGAGCAATAAGCGTTGCCTAAATGTGAGGTCTCACCACGAAATGAGACGCATCGTTGGTGAAATCATATTGAGATATTCACCAAAACAGGTCAAAGTCAACATTTTTACAAAATGTTCTCTGCACATATTCTGTAACTCTAGTCATATTATTTGTACAGGTTAGTTAATGGCTTCCCTACTATAAGTAAATCCAGAGATGTGAGCATTTAAAGTTTAGGTGTATAAGAACCACGTTTTGAGAAAATCAGCCTCAAAAACCAAATAAAAGCTTATAATGTGATCTACCCAAATATAATATAAACTCATTTTACCTGGCAGAACGAAAGAAGGAAACTCCGCTTTTCAGTTGTCTTAGGCCCTTGTTTTTTGACAAACAATGACCTTTCAGAGGTCAAATTGCTGACAAGAATATGAATTGGCTGCTTCGCAGCAAACATCATGTCTCCATTTAACGTAGAATTACCTTCAAGGTGATATCTTTCAACCAATTAGAGAAAGTCCACCACACCCCAAGCTTGTATGAAAAGTATAGTATTGGTTATCTAGAGAAGACTTCCTTCTGATACCTTGAAGGAAAAATTACGTCTCACAACCCTACTTGCATATATTGTATATATCATGCAGTAGAATAGTAAATAAACGCTTTGTATTATAACCAGAAGAGATGTAGTCAGTTCAGTTATTAAAAGTAAACCATCTCGCTTGTCATATCAATACAATATTACATAGTGAAGATCCAGTCTTTGCATCCGGAACATACATTGGAATCGGGCACACCAACTTGAGCATTACATGGCGGACTGCCATACATAATATTACACTACATTGAACAACAGATGGGAGAGTTTGTTAGTTCGTGTAGAAAAACTGATCAATCTCATGAACAGTATACATCTAGATACCAAAATGGGAAAGAGGTAGATCGGCATACCGAGGGTATAGATCTCAGAGGGATAGAATCCCAGAATATAAACCTTGCAGAGAAAAAAGTAGGGATCGTTATAATTATAGACTCTATAGAGAAAATAGTAGAGATTGCTCCCTACAAATTTGATAAGGGCTTTGGTTTTGATAGCTTGTGCAAAGCCAAAGTCCTCACCAAAGACGCGGTAATGATTATCATTATTAAAGGAATAGGAGTCCTAGTCTTCATTATAACAGAGATCAAAAACGTAGGAACTCCAGTCCTTATCAGAGTCCTAATTATTTAAGTAAGCCACAGTCTAGTCCACGACATCGACAAGTGACTTTTGCGAAAATGCATTCGGAAAACTAAAAGGAGCTGAGAACAAGGGTCAATTTTCAGCTCAGAAAATTGATATTGGAAGTAATGATACACAAAATGATGTAAATATTGTAAATAAATCTAAACCATTAATTTCAGCTTTAATTAAAATAAACGTAGAAGGTAATGAAGTTAGTGCTCTAGTAGACACAGGAGCTCATATCTCTTTAATTAGTAATGATTTTAGAAGAAATACAGTAATTCTTTCATGAAAACAAGAAAAATGGATAATACTACTAACAGTTAAAGCAGTGTCTGTAGATCGAACTCAATTAGATTTAATAGGGAAAATTAGGTTAATTTAACAAAGGGAAAAATGACTATCCAACAAGATGTCTATGTTACTAATGACATACAAATTTGCTCCAACGAATCCTCTGAATCAAATACAACTAAACTTCCTATGGATATTTCGAAGGATAATCTTTCTGATAAAGAATTTGAAGATGTTAAGAATTTATTACAGGAGTATAGTGACATATTTAGGAAAAGTAAGTGTTATGTTACGGTAGACACTAGCAATACTTGCATAGTTTCTTGTGTAAAATCATATACAAATACATTTTGAACCTGAATGAAAAGTTTAAAAAAAAATATATTAAAATACAAACAGTATTATAACATGAAAGAAAATATGTTAATCATGAAAACAAACAAAATGTGTTGCCTCATCAGGTGTCATTACCAGTATATGTCCATTGAAATAATTTCATTATTCAAATAAACCAAATTTAGTAAGTGTATGTAATATGTATGTGTAATTTTGTTTAAATTTGAATTCACCAAATACAACATAATGTAATTATATAATATTCAATTGCAATTATAATAAATTTAAATCCATATGCTTTTTGTTCAAGGTTAGATCCTTATTTTGTTTTTGTTTTTTTGTATGCATGTGAATTGTGGGCATGAAAACCTATCTCTTTTATAGTTTTTTAGTAGAATATGAAATACATTCAGGTTTATACATTAGTTCATCATAGGAAAAACTAAGTCTGTTTGACAAATTTTATAAAAAAAGAAATAGTTACCTTAATTGTGTTTAGTATCAGCCTGAGTTCTTTCAAGCAGTTCATGCACAGTGAATATCTACAGCAATCAGGACAGAGAGAAATCAGTTTAGTTATACCAAGCGTTTCTGTCTGACTACCAAATCGATTAATATTTTAAACTTTAAGTGCAAAGTCTTGGTTCACCAGTGATGGCATGAATATAACTGGAAAGTCTAATTGTAAAGTGTCATATGAAACATATACTACAAAGAAAGTATTCCAAATCGAATCTACTTTTTTGTACATTTGGTCTAATTACTCAGTTCATAAAAACATTTAAAGGACATAGGCCTACTATCATGACTATCAAACGTTTTTGAAAATTTACAAGATTTTAGTTCTTGAATGTGTGTACCTGTTACAGTACTTGATTGCATAGAAAATTTGAGTATCAGTGTATCATTTAATACATAATTCATATTACTGCGATACATATTATTGTCATACAGACATATGATTTGGAACAAACCATTATACAGTATGAAGAAAATATTGTTAATGATATCTTCTTGCAATTCACACAGTTCACATGTACATTTATCAATTAATTAGTCTTTATTATATCATACATTTTCCATTTTTTAAAATTGGTTATATTTTCATTGCAATCATATAAAATCTCCATTTTTTTGTCTAGATATTACTATTATATATATATATTTATATTATTATATCATACATTTTCCATTTTTTAAAATTGGTTATATTTTCATTGCAACCATATAAAGTCTCCATTTTTTTGTCTAGATATTACTATGTTTTTGAAGAATAATCCATTGAAAAATTTTAGCTCAAAACATGTGAAGTATCAATCCACAAAAAAATATTTTGATAAATGCATATATATTAATTTCTTGCATAGTAAGAAAGAAAAAGCTAGCTTTAGGCGAGACAGAGAAATTAATTAACACATATATCTTCTTGCAATTCACACAGTTCACATGTACATTTATCAATTAATTAGTCTTTATTATATCATACATTTTCCATTTTCTAAAATTGGTTATATTTTCATTGCAACCATATAAAATCTCCATTTTTTTGTCTAGATATTACTATATTTTTGAAGAATAATCCATTGAAACATTTTAGCTGAAAACATGTGAAGTATCAATCAACAAAAAAATATTTTGATAAATGCATATATATTAATTTCTTGCATAATAAGAAAGAAAAAGCTAGCTTTAGGCGAGGCAGAGAAATTAATTAACACATTTGTATTTTGAAGAACAAGGCCATGAATGGCAGAAAATACTTTACTTCAATTTTGCTGGTTTTGAAAGGGCCTTTATCTTCATACAATGATCTATGGAACATTGTGAGCTGGATACACAAAAAATTAAACAAAGCAAAGTAAAAGCACTGTACAATGGCTTTGAGTACGTAACATTTGACCTAGGGGAGATTACAGATTGAAAAAAGGATGCAACATAACATAACACAACAAACTAGATGACTGAGCACTTGCTGATGATATTGTACTAATTATCAAGCATTGAAAAGCAAATACAGACAAAATTAGCAAAATTGCTTAGAGAAGCTTCGAGATTGGGGTCAAATTAAATATAAAGAAGACCATGATCATGAGAATTCTTGAGTGTAAAACTGTCATCAAAACAGATGTAACAGAGTAGTTTCAGAGGATTGCACAGATTCACATAATTTGGATCAAAAGAGAGACAGGAAGATCTTTCATGAAACTGAAGAGAATATGAAATTGCAGCAACGTTAACAAGAAAACTAAGTTTTTCCAGATGTTAGTGACATCAGTGCTGTTACATGGTTCTCAAAATTGGAAGTTAACGAAGGCAAATGAAAAACAAATTCACATATTGCTAAACAAATGCATGAGAAGAATAAGGAAAATAACATGGGAAGGTAGAATAACTAATAGAGAATTCATGCCAAAACAGATATATGATCAGCCAATAAGAAAGTAAAAAACAGAAAATGAAAATGGACTGGTCATGTCTTAAGACATGCCTATGGAAATAACTGTAACTAAGACATGCCTTTGGAAATAATTGTAACATTGCCATGACACTAACAGGGGTCCAAGTTGAAAAGAAGTCATTTCCAGGAGATTTGCAGTAGTGGTCTAATGGTGGGGGATGGGGAGAGGCAGATAGGTAAAGGGAGAAATAGGGATAGGGAGGGAGGGAGTGAGTCAAAATCCCACCATGCTTTGAGCTGGGATTAGAAAATTTATGATTATACTACCTCTAGATTGCTGGAAATGCTCTTTAAGACTTACATTATTATTATTATTATTTTGGAATATTTACAGACCCAGGCCAGCTGCCTCCAATTACTTGAATCTAATCTGGTTAATGAGCTTTCTTAATACATCTAATTGCATGTTGCTGCACATAGTGATATCCATCAGCACTGACTTCCATGAGAAAATTGATAATGAAGCAGTGAAAATATGCAAACTATGGATTTGAAAAGATGGGTTAGTTTCTGGGAGATTCTTGCTTGCTTACAGGAACATTTATTTATTATTGTTTCTTTGTAAAATATATTAATTGTAAATTCAATTCTTTGCACGTAGAATTCTATGTAAGTTCAATTCTTTGTAAGTTTAATTCTTTTTAAGTTCACTTCTTTTGAAAATTCTTTTGGAGATATTGTTCAGACATTCTTTCTTAGGAATTTAAAATTAATTATAATTCTACACACAAAGAATTGAATGTTATTTGTGTGTAGAATTATATGTAAGTTCAATTCTTTGTAAGTGAACTTACAAATAATTGAACTAACAAAGAATTGAAATTGCACAAAATTTAAGTTCACTGCTTTTGAAAATTCTTTTCGACATATTGTTCAAGGATTCTTTCGGGGATATTGTTACAAGATACTTTTTCTAAAGAAATTTAAATTTACTTTTTTATTATCTTTTTTACGTTTCCTTTTTTCTCTTTGTTTTTTCTTTCCTTTTCTTTTTCTTTTTCATTGTAGAGTTATAAGTTAACTTTAGTATCGATAACTGTCATTATTTTCATCGATAATATTACATGTAATTAACATAAACATAATCTGAAACATTACCAATTAAAATTTAATTTGAATGGCTTCATGGTAGCTATAATAAACTGGAATTACTTCTACCTGCAATGAATCTAGACCTTTGCCATAGATATGATCAATCAATGTGTCATTTTCAGTAGTAGAACATGTAACGTATTGTTGGTACCCATTCTGTGACATTAAGTTATTCACTTGAGAAGTTTCTTTGAACAAATTTTCATTAAAGTCACCCATTATGATACATTTTGTACTTACTTTATGCAGCTCTTCTAATAGTTCTCTCAAATTCTCACAGAATTGCTTCACATTATAGCCAGGAGGTCGGTAAATTACTGAAACAACAACGGAAATTGGACAAGTTATCAAAAATGCAATTACCTCTATATCGTTAATTTATATGAGTCTATACGCAAGTCAAAGAGATCATCATCTTTATTTAGCCATGTTTCAGTAAGGCATATGATACTTGAATTCACAAACAAACCATTACACTGAAGATCAGCAAAATGTTGTTTAAGCCCTTGAATGTTATGCAACATTATGGAAACTTCACAATCTGAATCATAAACTTCTTCATCACATCGTACATATGAATTTCATATTATCTAAGCATTTCTTTATGTTTGGATCACAATATACAAGATTAGGATTAAAATTTTCGATAATAAGTCCAGATATTGATATTTTTTTCTACTGTTAACTTCAATATCTTCTGCTTTAATACTGATGATATCTGTACAGGTCTTGTGCAACATTTCCTTGTTCCATTCATTAACTTGCTTATTAAATGAATAAATATGAGGAGCATCTTCAATTTGCTCACCGGTTTCACGTGATCTGAGAACTTCTAAATCTTCATCAAACAAAATATCATCTCTTTCCTTTGTACGCAATTTGTTCAACAAAAGAGCAAATTCTGCATCTTCCTTTTGTCTCATGATTTGATCTAACTCTACTTGTTTAAAGTTATCCATCCACAATGCTGTCTCTTATACACAACCCATCACAGGGGGCAACTGATAAAAATCACCAACTGCAATTACTGAAACATTGCCAAAAGGAGAATCATTACGTGTCTGCTTAATTTGCCTTAAACGTCCGTGGATATACCAAAGTAAATTTTGATTTACCATTGATATTTCATCTATAATCACAATTTGCAACTGACTCAGCTGATTACGAAGTGCACTTATTTTTTCTTCTCCAAGTGGTTGATATGGAAGTGAAATACTAATGGGGATAGACAAAGCACTATAATATTTAATATTGTATGCTGCAATCCCTGTTGGAGCAAGTTTTAGTATTGACAAATCATCAGGATTCTGCATAATTTTGCTGAGAATGCGTGTTGCCTCATTATAAATACAATTTACCAAATGACTTTTTCCGGTGTCTGCACCTCCAGTAATAAAGTTATAAAACGGTTCAGGCTGTTTACCATTAACTTTATCCAAACACCATTGCCTTATCTTGTAAAACATTTGCAGTTGTTTTTCATTCAAAGATCGGATCATTTTGTTAGCTTCTGGCCTTGGAATAGCAGTACATGGATTACATTCTATCATAGACGTTTGAATTTTGTTCAGTCCAAAATCTGGAATGACAAATTCAGGTTCTGTATCATCGTCATCATTTACATTTGGCTTTGGGTTTTCTAGCCTTTCTTTTTCATTTTCGGGACACAAAAGACCCCATGCATCTTCCTGCGGTCCAAATTTTGCTAGGAAATCTTCTGCCTGTTCAATTTCATCAGCACTTTTTTCATACTGTTTCATGTTTGCTTGAACTATGGACTTTACTGTTTGCAATTCACTATCACATAATTTGACAGACCCTTTTTCATAGAATTCTTCATATGTTAGAAAATTTGGTGGTTTTAATTGTTCATCTGTACGAAATGGTAGAAATAGCTGCAAAATACTCAAGAAGTATTTTTCAGATGCTTCATTCTTTGGAAATCGAGGATATTGTATTATTGCATTACTACTCCTGGTTCTTTTTTGAATGCATCCTATTTTTTTCTTTAATTGAAATACATTTGATTTCTGTTTATTCCCATTCATTTCTGATGAACTCAGCATCCTATAGTTAGAACAGAATGTTGCAAGGCACATTTTATGAAATTCAGATCTATCAGGCCGAGCTTTGTATTTGTCAAGCTTATTTGGCAACCAAGCACTTCCATGATCATCTGGTTTGTTTTTAATTACACTTAGTGGTAAACTCATTCTCACAAGATTAGGTCCAACTGGAATAAATTCAACTTTCCTTGAACATTCTTTTAATCGTGAACCACAAACACGATAAACGCTCTCTTGGGCAGACACCTCTCGATTGTTCATATATACATGGCCAAGTTTTTTTAGGCTTTTTCTAGCGTCTTTGTTTCCTTCTTTAATTTCTGATGCTGAATGAGATAAGAGCAAGCCTATTTCTCTTTTAGATTTTGACATGTATGACACAACATAGGCAATACATGCATAGACATTTGTTATATACTGAATGTCCATATTGGCATTCCAGGCTCTGAGCAAGGAAGGGTTATATTGATTCACCCCAACGTCTTCAGGGTTCCTCATAATAATAATCTTTTGCTCAGATATAATGAGATTGTTTGCATCCTCAAATGCCTCCTGTGTTATGTCTAGACTTTGAAAAAGTTCTCTTGCATTTTGATACTTTTTTTCACCTGTCAGTGCATCTTTTACTGAGGTTAATAAATATTTTGCATTTTCAAAGGCATCATCATCATTTTCATCCACTGCAGCTGGTCTTACAATAAATGTTTGTTCTGAAGGTTGTCTGGGAAAATTAAATCTACAATTTGTTCCTTTCTTCTTACAAGACTTTGAATGTTTTTTACTGTGAATCTGCACACTTATTAATGAAACTGATTATTTTCTTATCTTCATCCTCATCAAGAACAGGGGCATCTTGAATCCACACTAACATATGGACATGTGGGCTTCCTCTCATCTGAAATTCAATTCTGTAGAAATAATTTATGACTTTACCAATAGGCTGTGCTTCAGACAATATCACATTTCTCAAAAAAGTATGAAAGCGTTTGTCAAACATTCTGGCAACTGTCACTGGATTAGATTTTAGCAAATTACATTTATCTGCTCATTCCAATTCATCTATTTTTCTTTGGTCTCCTGTCTGACTTAACAATGTCTTCATTATTTCTTCCCAACGAAGATCAGCACTTGAAAATGAAAGAAAATATGTTGGCATCCCAATCTGCCTAACCATTGCCACTACATCTTTCTGTGTTGCTTGCCAATAAGGTGGAGTTCCACGTATTTGTTTTAAGAATTTATAACCTTTATCAGATTTCAAAATCTCTTCGACTTTGTTAACATTCTTTAAATCAGATACCGTAATTTTACTATAATCATCCTTCTTTTCTGATCCTTTTCGCAAAGCAATGGATAGATAAGATTTGCTGAATTTCATATAAAGATTGAGCATAAAATATAAATTCTGTATTTTTGGCAAACCTATTATCTACATGCATTGATCTATTGTGCAAATAACGTCCAAGTGTTAGTTTGACATCTCTGGCATCGTGAAATGTTGGCTGACCTTTTGGAAATAATACTGGAAATGATTTTGCTTCATTGCTTTCATTATTTAACAATGCAACAGGGCTATTGTTTTCACATGGTGCACAACAAATTATGTCCTGAAAATACTCATCAACCACATTCTGCCGCCTGTCGACTGGCTGAAGACTTGTACCACATAATCTCACATAATCTCACATAATTTTGAGACTACAAAATCTCAAACTATTATTAAAATGTACCTTTATTTCTTCAAATCAAATCAAAATAAAGCACCCATCTCCAACTTTATATCCATTCTTTCACCATCAACATTTTATTAATTTTGACCGTCATCTGGTTTATCAAAATTTTATGATTACTAATGTTTAAGAGTATATTTTGAGACTAAAAAAATCTCAAATTAATATTAAAATATACCTATATAACTATATATATAACTTGAATTAGCCTTATGTGCGGTATTGTTATGCAAATGAGCCAGATAAGCACAATCTGCACATGCTCAGAAAAACAAAAATTTCTTTAGCCACACTGCGTATCGGCTAGGCGTACAGCAGCTAGGCCTAGCTTATCTTATTTTTTATTTTATTTTATTTTTATTATTTCTTCTCCATCTGGTCGTTTACTTAGATAATTCTTGAGCCCCCACATCATTATCGCTTGCTTTTTCGGTGTTCCATCTGGATTTGGTCCAGAAATTACCCGTTTACCTGGGATGCACTTGGAGTCTTTGCGCCTCCTATCATTCTGAAATCTATACTGGATACGCTGCCTCCACAAATTCTGAAAATAAGCAATTAAATGATTTCATAAACACCAAATTATTTAATTGCTTATTACTCAGCAGGGCTCATACATTTGATTTCATTCTAAATTCCGGTATATTCTATGTGAAATATTTTAAATTTCAAGGACAATCGTTTGTTGACACTTGTCTACAAGTTTGTAAATACATATACCAAACAGACATAAATTGTAAATTTTATCACATGTGAACAATGATTGTGTACGTTACGTTTGATTTCCTGT